AAGATCCTGGATATACTCCTCTTAGGAAATAAAGAAGCCATTAGAGGTAGAAGAAACCTCAATCTCAAGGAAGTCACGACTTCTTTAGTAAACATGGAGCAATTTGGATTTAGTTAGGCGATTGTGATCTTCAACAAATTTCATGGTGGATTACAAGATTTTTCAATGGATTTAATTGATTGTGATCTTGAGGAGATAGTCAAAGATGTCAAGTGTATATCTTGAACAATATGGATTTAGTTAGATGATTGTGATATTGAACCAAATTTCTTTGTAATTTATGAGATTTTAGTTGGATTGAGTTAGGTGATTGTGTCTTGAGACGACAATCAAATATGTTTTGTGGATCATGAGATTTTAGGTCTAGTAGTTGAGCATGGTGATTATTATATTGGTGGATAAACAGATATTTAATTTAGTTTGAAACAATTTGGATTTGGTTCGGTGATTATGATCTTTTAACCTAATTTTACGATGGATTATAAGGTTTTGGTTGGTTTAGTTAGGTGATTTTTATTTTGACAAGCCAGTAAAAGATGTTCGGTGGATTATGTGAATTTAGGTCTAGTAGGTGAGCATGTTGATTATTATATTGGTGGATAGAGATGAGTGCCACACAAGTGACTCAAGGCGATGATGCTACTACTGAAAATAACTGGTAAACAAGGCAACAGAGGAGAGAATGGGGGTAGTGGCAGCAGATGGACTTTGATCCAGCATCCCACGTGCCTGTGCACTCTTCGTTCCCTGCGGTCCAGCTTGGTGTTCTTGTCCTGTTTGCGGATTTTGTGTCACGCACTTGATTAAGCATCCCGCGTTCCCCTAATGGGCGCCCTTGGCCTTGATGATAGGTAGCGCCGTGTTCTCGGGCGCGTCCCGTGGGTAAAATTCAGGTATGCGTCGATTGTCTGAGCTCTTGCTCGCCATTGGTGGTGCTTGAGCGTGCGGTCTTGGTGTCGCCCAGCAAGGGAACACGGGATGTGGGATCAAGACAACACACATAGCAACCCGTCACCAGGCAACGGACGCCCGTCCGGACTTTCAGGGAGCAGAGGTGGACACAAAGGTGGATGTTGAGCTCCATAGCCGTCTCGACAGTGTGCTCATCAGTAAGAGCAACACGAGCAAGAAGATCCTGGATATACCCCTCTTAGGAAATAAAGAAGCCATTAGAGGTAGAAGAAACCTCAATCTCAAGGAAGTCACGACTTCTTTAGTAAACATGGAGCAATTTGGATTTAGTTAGGCGATTGTGATCCTTAACAAATTTCGTGGTGGATTACAAGATTTTTCAATGGATTTAATTGATTGTGATCTTGAAGAGATGGTCAAAGATGTCCAGTGTATATCTTGAACAATATGGATTTAGTTATATGATTGTGATATTGAACTAGATTTCTTAGTGATTTATGAGATTTTAGTTGGATTGAGTTAGGTTATTATGTCTTGAGACGATAATCAAAGATGTTTTGTGGATCATGAGATTTTAGGTCTAGTAGATGAGCATGGTGATTATTATATTGGTGGATAAACAGATATTTAATTTAGTTTGAAACAATTTGTATTTGGTTCGGTGATTATGATCTTTTAACCTAATTTTACGATGGATTATAAGGTTTTGGTTGGTTTAGTTAGGTGATTGTGATCTTGACAAGCCAGTAAAAGATGTTCGGTGGATTATGTGAATTTAGGTCTAGTAGGTGAGCATGTTGATTATTATATTGGTGGATAAAGATGCGGGCCAGACAAGTGACTCAAGGCGATGATGCAACTACTGAAAATAACTAGTAAAGAAGGCAACAGAGGAGAGAATGGGGGTAGTGGCAGCAGATGGAGTTTGATCCAGCATCCCACGTGCCTGTGCACTCTTCGTTCCCCGCTGTCCGGCTTGGTGTTCTTGTCCTGTTTGCGGATTTTGTGTCACGCACTTGATTAAGCATCCCACGTTCCCCTAATGTGCGCCCTTGGCCTTGACGATAGGTAGCGCCGTGTTCTCGGGCGCGTCCCGTGGGTAAAATTCAGGTATGCGTCGATTGTCTGAGCTCTTGCTCGCCATTGGTGGTGCTTGAGTGTGAGGTCTTGGTTTCGCCCAGCAAGGGAACACAGGATGTGGGATCAAGACAGCACACATAGCAACCCGTCACTAGGCAACGGACGCCTGTCCGGACTTTCAGGGAGCAGAGGTGGACACAAAGGTGGATGTTGAGCTCCATAGTCGTCTCGACAGTGTGCTCATCAGTAAGAGCAACACGAGCAAGAAGATCCTGGATATACTCCTCTTAGGAAATAAAGAAGCCATTAGAGGTAGAAGAAACCTCAATCTCAAGGAAGTCACGACTATTTAATAAACATGGAGCAATTTGGATTTAGTTAGGCGATTGTGATCTTGAACAAATTTCATGGTGGATTACAAGATTTTTCAATGGATTTAATTGATTGTGATCTTGAGGAGATAGTCAAAGATGTCTAGTGTATATCTTGAACAATATGGATTTAGTTAGATGATTGTGATATTGAACCAAATTTCTTTGTAATTTATGAGATTTTAGTTGGATTGAGTTAGGTGATTGTGTCTTGAGACGATAATCAAATATGTTTTGTGGATCATGAGATTTTAGGTCTAGTAGATGAGCATGGTGATTATTATATTGGTGGATAAACAGATATTTAATTTAGTTTGAAACAATTTGGATTTGGTTCGGTGATTATGATCTTTTAACCTAATTTTATGATGGATTATAAGGTTTTGGTTGGTTTAGTTAGGTGATTGTGATTTTGACAAGCCAGTAAAAGATGTTCGGTGGATTATGTGAATTTAGGTCTAGTAGGTGAGCATGTTGATTATTATATTGGTGGATAAAGATGGGGGCCACACAAGTGACTCAAGGCGATGATGCAACTATTGAAAATAACTAGTAAACAAGGCAACAGAGGAGAGAATGGGGGTAGTGGCAGCAGATGGACTTTGATCCAGCATCCCACGTGCCTGTGCACTCTTCGTTCCCCGCTGTTCGGCTTGGTGTTCTTGTCCTGTTTGCAGATTTTGTGTCACACACTTGATTAAGCATCCCACGTTCCCCTAATGTGCGCCCTTGGCCTTGATGATAGGTAGCGTCGTGTTCTCGGGCGCGTCCCGTGGGTAAAATTCAGGTATGCGTCGATTGTCCGAGCTCTTGCTCGCCATTGGTGGTGCTTGAGCGTGCGGTCTTGGTGTCACCCAGCAAGGGAACACGGGATGTGGGATCAAGACAACACACATAGCAACCCGTCACCAGGCAACGGACGCCCGTCCGGACTTTCAGGGAGCAGAGGTGGACACAAAGGTGGATGTTGAGCTCCATAGCCGTCCCGACAGTGTGCTCATCAGTAAGAGCAACACGAGCAAGAAGATGCTGGATATACTCTTAGGAAATGAAGAAGCCATTAGAGGTAGAAACCTCAATCTCAAGGAAGTCGCGACTTCTTTAGTAAACATGGAGCAATTTGGATTTAGTTAGGCGATTGTGATCTTGAACAAATTTCATGGTGGATTACAAGATTTTTCAATGGATTTAGTTGATCGTGATCTTGAGGAGATAGTCAAGGATGTTCGGTGTATTAATTAATCTTGAACAATATGGATTTAGTTAGATGATTGTGATATTGAACCACATTTCTCTGTGATTTATGAGATTTTAGTTGGATTTAGTTAGGTGATTGTGTCTTGAGATGATAATCAAAGATGTTTTGTGGATCATGATATTTTAGGTCTACTAGATGAGCATGGTGATTATTATATTGGTGGATAAATAGAAGTTATATTAATTTGGAACAATTTGAATTTGATAGGTGATTGTGATCTTTTAACCTTATTTTACGATGGATTATAAGGTTCTGGTTGCATTTAGTTAGGTGATTGTGATTTTGAGGAGGTAGTAAAAGATGTTTGGTGAATTATCCGAATTTAGGTCTAGTAGGCGAGCATGTTGATTATATTGGTGGATAAATGGATCTTCAGTAAATTTTAAACAATTTGGATTTAGTTCGGCGATTGTGACCTTAAACCAAAATTTATGGTGGATTATGAGATTTTTTTATGGATTAGTTAGTTGATTATGATCTTGAGAAGATATTCAAAGATGTTTGGATTAATTAATCTTGAACAATTTGGATTTAGTTAGGTGATTGTGATACTGAACCGAATTTTACGCTGGATTATGAGATTTTAGGTGGATTTAGTTAGGTGATTGTGTCTTGAGAATATAGTCAAAGATGTTTGTTGGACTATGAGATTTTAGGTTTAGTAGATGAGAATGGTGATTATTATATTGGTGGATAAACCGTTCTTTAATTTAGTTTGAAACAATTTTGATTTAGTTAGGTGATTGTTATTTTTGAGCAAATTCACGGTGGATTTTGAGGTTTTGTTGGATTTAGTTAGGTGATTGTGATCTTGACGAATTAGTCAAAGATGTTTGGTGAATTATGTTAATTTAGGTCTAGTAAGTGAGCATGGTGGTTATTATATTGGTGGATAAATGGGCCTTTAGTAAACATGGAGCAATTTGGGTGTGGTTAGGCTATTGTGATCTTGAACAAATTTCAAAGTGGATTGCGAGATTTTCAATAGATTTAGTTAGTAGATTGTGATCTTGGGAGATGTCAAAGATGTTTGGTGGATTAATTAATCTTAAACAATTTGGATTTAGTTAGATGACTGCGATATTGAACCAAATTGCTCTGTGATTTATGAGGTGATTGTGTCTTGAGATGATAATCAAAGATGTTTGGTGGATTATGAGATTTTAGGTCTAATAGTGAGCATGGTGATTATTATATTGGTGGATAAATGAATCTTTAATAAATTTGGAACAATTTGGATTTAGTTAGCCGACTGTGATCTTTAACCAAATTTTATGGTGGATTATGAGATTTAGTTTGGCCACGCTCTGCCTTTTCCTCAAGGAGCATGTGCAGTGCGGTGGTGCGGCTGCTCGTGCGGCGGGCGGTAGCCTCAGAAGATGGGCGCCGACACCTGCAGCTTGTGCACAATGGTCCGTAACCCTCTCCTTCCTGGCACAGGAGGAGCAGGAGCAAGGATGCCGAGGCGGTTCAGGTTTGCCTCCACCTCCGCTCTCCTCCCTGCTCTCACTCTTGTCTTCCTTTTTTGTCTCATTCTGCTGCTTCATTCAAGCATATATTTTAAATTGCTAGGTATTCCAGGTAGTTAGCACCACTATGGACTACACCTACACTTGATGTTAGAACTCTGATACTAATTTATGTTCTTGTTGCATAGGTGAATGGTGCTTTAGCTTCAATGACCAATTTTATTGCTAAATATTTTTCCCACTGGAAGTGTCGAAGAACATACAACTTGGTATGGAGAAGTTTTCTTATTGGGAAATAAAGATTCTTGTATGCAGAACTATTTGGGCTCCCGCAGCTGTATCAGTTGGTTTTAGTTCTCAGATTTTTTACTTTGCTTTTCTTGGCAAAAAATTGGATGTATGAATATGAGATCAGGACCTCAAGTTCACTGCTTTTCTTTTCATCTGCAGTCGTGAGGAAGAGTAGGAAGATCAGGCAGAGAGGGTTTCACATACCTCTTCTACACTCACAAGTCTTTGCTTTCCAGGATTGCCATGGTGAGCTGCTGCTGTAATGCTTTAATTTTCTTTTGTTTTGTCACTTTGTTAAACTTTGTCCTCTTATTCTGATGCTATGATTTGTGATGGCTAGATGAGATTTGTGGTGAAAAGTCTCCTTTATTTTGTTTACCTACAGATCTTGAATGCGTGATTGATAATTTTGCTGGATAGGTTAGAAATCTAAATAATAGACATTTTGAAGGATGTAGTTGGTAAACATGGAAAGCCAAGAAAAATATATAGCTTACTTACAGTGTTGTTTGATCCATCGCTCTGCGGCTGGCTCATTCATGGACTTGAAGTATGCCTAATCTTGGACTGCATTTATTGCCTGTTGTTGGTCTGCTTTTTTATTCTATATTTAGGGGGTTCTAAGCTATTGAATTAGGAAGCATACAGTTTATCCGTTTGAGACCCGCTTCATTCTGTTGGCTACTGCAGGGAGCTTTGGATGGTGGTCTTGGTATTTCGCACAGTGACAAGAGATTTGTTCGCTTCAAGAAGGATAAGAAGCAGCTGGGCGCTGAGATTCACCGCAAATACATCTATGAAGGTCATGTTGCTGACTACATGAAGGTGAGTTGGATCCACTGCCCTCGTGGTATTATAATGCCATTTCTATTCCCTAGGGCCATCGTTGTTGTATACATGAATTTTTTCTGGAAGATATATCTGGGCCTGATTCACCCATATAAAGTATCCTAAAGCAGGGTACTTTGTTCTTATTTCTGAAGCAGCTTACTGAATCTCGTTTTAACTTCTGCCCTACCCATATTTCAGTCAATAGCTGATGAGGAACCTAAGAAGTACCAATCTCACTTCAGTGAGTACATCAAGAAGAATATTGCGGCCGATGACATGGAAGCACTGTACAAGAAGGTTCATGCTGCTATTTGTGCTTATCCTACCATGGCAAAATCAACTAAGGAACCTTCAAAGACGCACAAGAGTTAGATATATCTTGCTGTTTATTAAAGTCAAACAACTGATAATGAAGTTTATCAATATGTAGTAATGGGTATGAATGTTTTCTCATACTCATGTAGTCCGTTCATTCCTAAACTATATGTTCATCTTATTGCTAAAACCTTGAAATATTAAGATGTTACGGTAAATAAATTCCTTCAGAATCAATAATAGAAAAGTTCTGCTATGCAATAAGATACAGTTGTATGCAAAAAATAATCTTGTCTTATATAGTTATATATATGAAAACTATGGATTTTCTATGCACTTCCTGCAATCATTAATGTTCATTGTCTTCGCTCGGATTTTGTTTGGCACCTGCGGCAAGCGGTGTCAGACACGATGGACACTGCCAGGTCCGCATCGACATCGTGCTCACGGGTTCTCCATCTTGCAGTGCATGATGAACTACACGGTAAAGTTCAGCTGAAGTTCCTCTGTTTTCTTCTACCAGGAGTTCTGACAATTTGTACACTTGGCTGCAAATTTATGCCGTTTGCATCACCATACGGATAGTGGTAAGAATTCAGCAGCAAATCCAATAGTAGGTAATCGTGACAGTATTTCACCACCGGTAATCTTGCTGTCTTTTATGGTTGCAGGTTTGTTCTTCTGTCGTTATTCATGGTTCTCATCATAGCCATACTGAATGATGCAGGTGGCATCTCTGAATTTATCATATGAATTATGACTTTATGAGCTTGCTTGGCTACTGACCTGCTGTGTGGGAAGGGCATCCTTTTACCAGAGCTATGGATTTTAATATGCTCCGTTTCCTTCAGGTCTTTTATCACTCCATCCTTGATTTATCTAAGTCCATTGGGGTTGCTCATGAATTAAAGAATTTAGGCTTACAGTAGGATGAACTTCCTTGAGAATCAATAATAGAAAAGTTTTGGTTAAGAGCAATTTCCAACGGGTCGTCAAATTTGTTTTTCTGATGTTTGGGTCTTGGCATGTATGCTTTGCTTGCCTATATGCTCTGTTTGAAACCTTTTATTCTGCTTTTGTCTTGGTCTGAATCATGGATAAATTGCCTCCCTTTTTACTTGCTTGGGCTTGGGATTGGGCTTGGAAGAGCTTTATCCTGTACTTAGTTACTTGGGTTGTATGACACCTATGGTTACCTCATTGTGCTTCCAGTTCATTTGCCTTTGTTGGTGGCTGGGGGCAAATATTTAGTTTGAATTATAGTTGATTGTCTTTGGATGTTGCTAATTTTGTATGAGCTGCAGGTGACATGTTCTTTCTATTTTTTATAGAAAATATTTTCTTTCTACTACCTCCAATCCAAAATAAGTGTCGCAGTTTTGAGCCCGGGTTCGTTCAAAACTGCCACACTTATTTTGGATCGGAGGGAGTAATATTTAGTTTTCTTCCAGTATTAATGATGTTTTCACTCTTTTGTCAGATTAACAATTTGCATTGACCTTTTATTGCACCTTTGATTGTAATCAGCATCAAATGGTTGTCTCGCTATGCTTTGCATTATTATAGATCGTATATGCTGCTGCTACTTAATTATACTTCTATGTGATCATGCAATTGTATTCATTTTAATGTTCACCGGTGATGGAAAAGCGCCGACTGATATGAAGCTAAGAGGAAGAAAAGTAAGAGAAAATTTACTTCACTGGTTGATAGGAATCCATCTCACGTTTTCTCGTGTTGTGCCTTTCTCAAAGTAAAAAAGCAAAAGTCGGAGAGAGAAATTACTGTACTAGTTAAGACAACTAATTTGCATACAATGGCAGCAATGCACAATCAGTGTCAGTGTTAGCGTGTACTTATTTCAAAGATGATTGGAGTAACCGTTGGCCGGTTCAGCAGCCACCATTTAATCGAATCACAATTCATAGACTAGTAGGCAAAGGTATTGGAGGGCTACTTTCAGATCAATTCATGACTATACGTATGGTATGAGCTATTCCTATCGCCGCGAACTTGTTGAACACGGCAATACTGGTGAACAAAAGCACAAGTGTGCGTGCAGTGCGAGCTAAGAAAGCTGGTTCATCATTCAGCATTATGCATGGTATTCAGTCATGATTGTCAAGTGTCAAGTTCAGTTTTAAAAGCTGAACCCTCAAGTGTTAAGTTTAGGTAACAGGGGCTGTGGAGTAACTGTAGCTGGATCAAATCCTCAATGTCAAGTTCAGAATATGATACTCAATTATCATGACAAAATTTACTACTTTGGAATGTGTGGGTGCGCTGGTTTTCGACTACTTGATCTAATCATCTTGAATTGACAGAGGTTTTCTGACTATACCCGCAAGTCGCAACCATGGCCTTACATTGCTACACACCTCTGCTGAAGCCCCAACTGGCCCAAGTCTCGGTCAACCCTTCCATTAACACGATACAGATTCCAGGTTTGCTTTGCCCTGCACGAATATGCTCGTTCCATGACATCTCTCTGGAATATACACTGCATAACATGTGTTGATGTGTGGATGCACTGGCTAGCGATTAGTTATTCTAATACTCTGCTGATAATTATCTTCTCTGAATATACACGAAATAATGGCCTTATAGAGTCAGTGCTCCGTCCCTCTGCTAAAGCCCTAACTGGCCCATGTCTCGGCCAGCCCTTCTCTAAATCGATGCAGATTGCAGGTTTGCCTCGCATCAATATGCTCCTTGCATAAGCTAGTAATCTCTGGCCATGCTTCATTTTTTATCCTACTTGCATCATGCCTGATGACTTTTTTTGTGCCACCAATTTTAGTGTATGTTCGAGGAGTAGCAGATTTTACGGATCTTTTTTTGTGTCGTTGCTTCATCAAATGGAAATTTAAGTAACGGGAGATTCGTCAAATGGAAATTTAAACCAGTTTATGACTTGGTGAGGAATATATATATTAGTGTGTGTTGTTACGTTGAGCTCTAAATAACGGGGAGCACACAAAATTACATTCAATCCAAATAGGACTGGTGTTTGCATCTGTATTCTGTAGTTCTGTATGTTGTATTCAAATAAACTGTTTCTTTTTGGGTGTTAATTTTTCGTCTTAATAATGGTGATTGTTATTCACTTGGAACCATCATGTAAACCTAGCTGGACATGGTTAAACTATAATTTTCCATGTTTCAAAATACTATACGGTTTAGTACTTTGTTCCGAGAGTCTTACTTCCCAAAATGGATTTTTTTTTCCAGTAAGTATTCTCCTAAATCTTTTTGGTGTCTTGATGTGATCTGATCATCAGAATGCATGAACTGTATTGAATTCTTGTAAGGAAGCATTTGAATGTTGCTTGTCCTGATCTAATTATCTGCAATCCACAGGTTATGGAACTGCACTTGCAATGGTAGCAGGAACGACCTTGCTTGGGCGACCTTCTCTGTTATGATATTGTTGTCTAAGTTAAAAAACCTGAATCTGCTCCATGGTTTTGTTATGTTGGATGTGCCCCAAGAAGCTTCTTTCTTTTGATTTTTGTTGTCAATATATTCTGTGCATGCTCCTCGTACTCATTATGAAGTTTGGCAAATATCAATTCTCTGGATGTTCTTCATAACTATGGCGAATCACATGAAGTTCAAATGTTAGCATAGCTAATAAGTTGTATTTTCGGCGATGACACAATGCACAGGTCAAGTGTTAGTTTTCTGAAACTATTGTACTGTGAACTGATGCAAACTTCCTCACTTTTATTTGTAGTTTGGCCAACATTGGTACCTGGTGTCGATGTGGAGGAAAAGACCTTAGCAGGACTACTGACTGTCGCCTTGCAACTCATTTTCTTCAGAAGTGTCTCGGCCTCAGACATGAAAACTTGAGAATTCAGATTTTTTGTAGCGCAGAACCCATTAGCTCCTATCTTTGTGCTAGCTAAACTTGAGCTTAAGTTGTAGTGGTGTAGTCAAAATTATTTGTGTACTGAATTTTTATTCTTTTATGTGCCCGTAGTGAGTTTTGTAGTTTTATTTGATAATTATTTGTGCAAATTTTAGCTGTGATCTGATGTGTTATACCAAAGGTTTGTATGTTGTGTGTGAGGGATTTCCTTCCCTGCCGTTGTTGCCATTTCGGCACCAGGGATAATGGGGACTTTTCCCCCGTGGTGAGAGGGATCTCATATACCCAGGAAAATACCCCCCAAGGGGCTTGGTGTGGTGCCCAGGGTTATATTTTCCCTTCAAATCACAGGTAAGATGAAAAGAGAAATCAAGCAGTTGGAATCGCAACCAAACAAAGCCCTAGAGGTAGACACCGGGAAAATAAGACGCTGTTGGACCGTATGAATATAAGCCTCCTGATCTTATGCACAACCCTTAACCGTACAGGACCGCCTTTGTTGTTCCGGGCCTCGTTGCGTGCGTCCCGTGGAAACTGTCATGTAACAGCAGTAGCAGTGGATGTTCCTTCTTTTTGCCTAGAGTTTTTTTTACGGTAACTATATGCTTCGGATTATGAGGTAATGAATGGTTTCAACTCGCTATTCATGCGGATACTTTGAGCGCTTGTGGGTGTGTCAAACTTCATGCGGCAGTACTGAAAAATCTATGTTGCTCCCAAGCAAGGTGTTGTACAAAAATGCAGCAGTTGTGGGTGTGTCAAACTAGTGGTAATGTGATTTACGGCAAAAAAACTAAGGAATGGTTCCTTGAGAACTTGGAATACGTAATTGTGATGGCCTACCCGCAAAAAAACAACAGCGGCTGCTGCTTTATTTCTATCGCCGTTGCACATGTGGGGCCTTGCTTGAATCTTTGTCATGTCCTGAACATGGTAAGCAGTTGCATTGGCGTGTCAATTTCTGTTCTGTTTTCCTGCAAAATAATAATAATCTGTTATTGTTTCTCTGGAGCATCGATGATCGATCATATAGACAGTTTCGGAGGCCGCACATCACCTTGACCTCATGATCTGATGGCTGTCCTGCGGAACTCTCTGCGCGCTCGAGCTCGATCGTCGGATATCCCCTTGTGAGTTGTGATGGCGCCTTCAATGCGGGCGCGTCCGCATGTTTAGCTGATTTGCCTAATGCTAAGTTCAAAAAGAATATGCTAGCTTTGTATCCTGGCGACGCTAGCTACACACGTTCAGATTTCATCATGAATTTTTGTTCCCAACACAAAAGCTCAACCTCATGTAGACATACAGGCTCATGAGGACGTGCACATTCAGATTATGTAGACGTTCAGGCCAAAGTGGTAATACAAAAGGAGCATGTTCATTCAAAAATTCATTTTGGCAAAAAGAGACCAAACTCGTAACTGAAAGAACCAACTAACCAGGCTGGAAAGTTTAAACATACTCCTTCAAGAATTCTGATTAGCTCAGGTAAAAAAACAGGAATTCTGATTAGCTAAAGTACAATGCCATCTTCATCGTTTCAGCATAATAAGCATATGACATGTCGATAGAAAATGAAAACGTTTACTTGACGGATATTCCTCTCCGCCTCTTGGTTCTGCGCACAAATGATTATTTCAGCCAAATGCATCATATCTAGCAAGAAGACAATTCTAGCTACAAATCGATTGAAAATGACTTAATAGCCAACGATGAGGAGTTCACGAAGAAAAATAGTCTATAGATTACCAAGCTTCGACATGTGAATCTTATCTTCTAGACACGTTACATAGCATGTCCATTGGTTGAAGGTACTGAACAAAAAAAATGGTCTATCTAATTTGCCCTACTATCCTCTTCCTGGTAGTACCATTCAGGGGCAATGGCAGATAATTAACGAAATCCCTTGAGATAAGCCAAGAACAATGTGATAGGAACTTCAATTAATGTGCAAGTTCGAGAGAACAGATAACTAAGCAAATGTAAGATGGGATTTGGAAGCAAACAAAAAATGCTTATCTGCAGATGAGTACGCTACGCTACAAGCTGCAAACCAATGCAAAATCCTACAATGACCTACCCACTCAAGGCACCTAGGTCAGCAACTTGGCTCACAACTAGGTTACGGGGTCCGCGAGGACCTAGTCTGACGTCACAAACGCGGCCTGGTGTTGCGCGTTGCGTCGCTCCTCCTCTGTCACCATACTGTGGGACAACATGTTGCCACCACCACGGCCGACGTAATGCAGGAGGCGCTCACGCGTGTTTACGAGCGCCGGGTAGGGGAGGGGGGCTTCTTCACGGTGACCGGGTGCTGACGGGGCGGTGATGGTGGCGCGCTCTCCTTGCCGCGCCAAAGGCATCCAACAGCCCAACGTGTTGACCGACCGCGAGGACGGCTCCTCCCTAACGTGGCGTCCGATTTGAACTTCGCGGTTGTGCCCCCCCGGGGGGTGGGGGGTGGGGGGGAAGAGCTCCAGGTGTGCCTGGTACTCCTCATTTGATAGACGTGAAGGTGTCCCGATGTTTCGATGAGATGGTGGCTATCGTTTTCGGTGGGAGTCGACCTTGACGATCCGACTACGAACGTGCGAGACGTCGCGTCTTAGCAATCGCTAAACCAACTTTCGAGGGTTATTGTCCACGCCGGAGCATGATCAACCTGACCACGAGGGTGTGTTTCCTGCGAGCAAATGAAGAACAAGTAAGAAACTAAGATTGCAATCTGGATATTGCGAATATAAGAGGAAAGCTTTATTAATGACGGTGGGGTTCTATGACGCCTTTGTCTGGTCGTTGAACGCAAACGAAGTACGCGAAGTTGCAGCTATGGCGAACTTTTAAACTAAACAAAACTCAAAGTCTAAACGATGACCTAAGGGCTGTATATATGGAGGAGAGAGGGAGGAATTTCATGGCCCTTGGAGAAGGGGTCCGAAACCAACCCTAACTCTTGTTTCCCCACACATACGGACTCTAAAAACTGCCTATAATCAAGTATTTCGAAATTACATGGGCATGACCCAAAAATAAGGTGACACAGCACCTAGAATAGCCTCTGGACGAAATTTATGAAGTGGCATCTTGTATATTTCGTCCAAGGCTTCATGCACTCATTATGGTGGCTTCAAAGTCCTGGAATCATCACTTGTAACTCAGTTCTTATTCCCCTTGCGCATGACATCATCTCCATGCTTGAACTTGCTCCAAGGTTCATCTTTCTTGTCCAAGCTAGGTCCTTCATTTGTAAGCAAAACAAATGTATCCAATTTAGGCAGCATCATATTCTCATGAACATTAGAATCGTTACCAAGAAACGAAAGGACCTGATAATTCAATTGGCGTGCGCGAGCTCTAGTAATTGGTCCAGTATGTATAGCAGCAGGGGCTGTGGGTGTAACAATGGTATTGATGTCCTCATCATCCTCCCGTTCTTGAAATGAAGTCGTCCTCGACGAAATCTCATCTTCCTCACCCAAATAAGGCTTCAGATCTGCAATGTTAAAAGTGGGACTAACCCCAAAATTTGCAGGCAGCTCAAGTTTATATCCATTATCATTTATTTTCTCTAACACCTTAAAAGGATCATCAACACGTGGCATTAGCTTTGATCTGCGCAAATTAGGAAATCTATCCTTACATAAATGTAACCAAACAAGATCTCCAGGTGCAAACACAACATGTTTTATACCCTTATCTCCAGCAAGTTTATATTTAGCATTCATACGCTCAATTTTTTCCTTAGTTAACTCATGCATTTTTAAAATCAATTCAACACGTTCTTTAGCATCAAAATTAATCTTCTCCGAAGATGGAAGAGGCAACAAATCAATAGGTGCATGAGGTAGGAAACCATACACAATCTCAAAAGGGCACATCTTAGTAGTAGAATGCAATGAACGATTATAAGCAAATTCAATATGAGGCAAGAATTCTTCCCACATTTTCTTTTTTTTCTTCAAAACATCCCTAAATGTAGTAGACAATGTTTCATTGACTACTTCAGTTTGTCCATCAGTTTGGGGTGACAAGTAGTACTAAAAAGCAGTTTAGTCCCCAACTTAGCCCATAAACATCTCCAAAAGTGGCTAAGAAATTTAGTATCACGATCTGAAACAATAGTATTTGGCACACCATGCAAGCGAATAATTTACGAAAGAACAAATCAGCAACATTAACAACATCATCACTTTTATGACATGGTATAAAGTGTGCCATTTTCGAGAACCTATCCACGAAAACAAATATGCTATCCCTCCCCTTCTTTGTTCGAGGTAAACCTAAAACAAAGTCCATAGATATATCCTCCCAAGGAACACTAGGTACAGGCAAAGGCATATATAAACCATGAGGATTGAATCGTGACTTAACTTTTTGACATGTAGTGCATTGAGCAACAAAACGCTCAACATCACGTCTCATCTTTGGCCAAAATAAATGTGTAGCAAGTACATCCTCTATCTTCTTCACGCCAAAGTGTCCCATTAGTCCTCCTCCATGCGCCTCCTGCAACAACAAAAGACGAACGGAGCTAGCTGGAATGCATAGCTT